TCAAGACTAACCTCGGTGGAGTAGTGACGAGGAACAGTCAAGACACCTACTGGTCTAATAAACTGAACAGGTATAAGCATATGAACAACAGAAGAATGATGTCTACATAAGGACTATGTAATATGGCTCACAATACAGTAATGGCAATAAGGAAGGAAACAACAAGTATCAGCGGGATATCATGAAAATGACACAAACAAAGTGAATGGGACACAACCTAAATCCGGAATCACAAATACAGTGAGGTAATAACTCAGCAACTACAACCGCTTTTACATCAGCTTTTAGTCAACGACTCCACGAGGTACGGGACCTCGGACAATCACAACTCACGAGTCTCAATACCTGAGCCCTAACACTTCGTATCCTGTACCCTCATAACACCTCATAACCGCACTGGTGACTCACGTGCCAATAGATCCATTCTCACATAGAAGGCAAGTAAACAAGGGTGAGAACCGATGCTTAACAATATCAAGAACACCTCTTATCCGATAAGAGTGCTTAACTACGTGTATGCTTGTTCAAGTGTACTAACATAGTCCATATTAGCAAATAAGCATAAGGAAAAAGAACGGACAACACGTAGAATAGTTTCTCACAGATTTCACAAGATAAAGCTCACACAGGTACGTATACCACTACACAAATATCACAATAAGAATGCCCCCAGGCCACAAATCATCACAAATCAATCCCTGACACAGCCCACCTTGTCTCGCCACGTGTGCAATAGTAACATAAATGCCCGCCTTGTCTCGCCACACGTGCAAAATAACATTTCCACCTTGTCTCGCCACATGCGCAACCCACATATACATATATATCCCACCTTGTCGCACCGCATGTACAAATATCAATAGTAACAATAGCTTGGCAAAAACCTCGTGCAACCAAATAACAACAATCGCACGGCAGAAACCTCGTGCATCACAATAATAACAATTGCACGGCAGAAACCTCGTGGATCACCACAACAAGTACAACAGCAACAATGGCAATAATACATACAAAGTATGACAAGTAAATCAACTCAAGAACTTTAATTCACAAAGAAAAGTTAGAACCAATTCACAAGGAATAACCACAGTAAAAAAATGCTAGGCGTAAAGAGAACAGCTCAACAAGGGAAAACTAATATGTAGCAACGATCCTACAATATACAATTCAGCAACAAGGAAGCTAACACGAGTCAAATAATTCCAAATAAAGACAAGTCGACTAAGATATAGGATATCTAAACTTCTTTTAATGTTGAGAAATTATGAAGGATATTAAATAATTCAATTAAGGATAAGCAGCTTAAAGATAATCATAACCTCAATTAAGACTGAACCATTATAGGATGAGATAATAATAATTCCAAATAAAGATAAGCAGATATGAAAAGATAGCATGACAATAGAAGAGGTAAAATCTTCAGTTAAGTCAGATAAGAGTCAAATAGGCCGTAAGAGTCAATCCTAAAAGCAATTAATTCTAATTAAAGCATGTAGAGGTGAAACTAGTAAATAGAAACTTAATCATATCAAGAACAATTTCATACTCAGTGAATATAAGGACCTAAGAACCCTAAAAGGCCAACTTTCAACTAATAATTCCGAGCACGCACTCGCCACCTCGCGTACACAGATTACAGTCAACATAGAAGACTCAAAGTCTAAGGGAAAATCCCCCACACAAGGTTAGACAAGATACTTACTTCAAAGAAGACAGACCGATACTCAAAAATGAACTTCTCAGGTGAAATGACCTCCGGACGGCTCAAATCTAATCAAAATAACTTCAAAGCATAAATAAAACTCATAAGAGACTATTCCGGATCATAAAGCCTCAATCTTTATAAAAATCTAAAAATCGGTCCAAAAGTCGACCCACGGGCCCACATCTCGGAACCCGACAAATTTCACAAAACCCAAACACTCATTCCGATATGAGTCCAACCATACAAAAATCATCAAATTCCGATACCATTTCGTCCCTCAAATCATGATTTTTTATTTTGAAATTGTTTTTCAAAAACCACCATTTTCCTCAACTCAAAACACAAATTAAATGATGAAATAAAGATAAAAATCATGGAATATATTAAATTCTTGGTGATGAACACTTACCCAATCGATTTTCTTGAAAAACCCACAAAGAATCGCTCAAAACCGAGATCTAGAACTCCAAAAATGGTGAAAATAGCAAACCCTCGGAATAGAGGACTTTATATTCTGCCCAGGTGTTTGTGCATCGTGATCTCGGAGATTGGGTCACGATTGTGGAGAAGAGAATTGAGGTTGCCAAGAAAGACCCTTCGCGATCGCGAGTGAAGGGAAGCGAACGCGATGAACAATGGGCAGGAGCTTACGTGAACGCGGGCAAATAATGCGAACGCGAAGAAGAAATAGCCAACAGCCCCCAGCTCATAATTTCTACTACGCGAATGCGAGGGAATAGATGCGAACGGGAAGTAGAAGAAAACATACCTTCACGATCACGAGAGGTACTATGCGAACGCGATGAAGAAAAAATGGGGCAGATCAATAGAACACTACGCGATCGCTACTGGAGCTACGCGATCGCGAAAGAGAACACCAGACACCAGAAACCAACAATCCAAAAATAGAAATAATTGGCCCGAGGCCCATCCGAAACACACCCGAGGCCCCCGGGACCCCATCTAAACACACAAACAAGTTCCATAACCTAACACGGACTCACTCGAGTTCTCAAATCACATCAAACAACGTCGAAACTATGAATCACATCATGAATCGAACTTATAAACTTTCCAATCTTCTAACTTATAAAACCCGTGCCGAAACCTATCAAATCAACCCGGAATGACGTCAAATTTTGCAGGCAAGTCCCAAATAACATAACGGAGCTGTTCCAACTCTTGGAATCACATTCCGACCCCGATATCAAAAAGTCCACTTCCGGTCCAAATCTCCAAAAATTCGGCTTTCGCCATTTCAAGCCTAAATTAGCTACAGACCTCATATTCACAGTCCGGACATGCTCCTAAGTCTGAAATCACCCAACGGAGCTAACGGAACCGACGAAACTCCTTTTAGGGACTAAATGTCGTCTTCACACAGTTCTGACTACAGTCAAAATCCTAAGACTTAAGCTTCCGTTTTAGGGACTAAGTGTCCCAAATCACTCCGAATCATCCGGTAATTAAATTCAACCAACGCACACAAGTCAATACACATAATACGAAGCTGCTCAGGGCCTTATGCCACCGGACGAGACTTAAATTCTCAAAACGACCGGCCAGGTCGTTACACATTTGGACTACATCGGCAGGCTGAACGGTGAGATCAGCCTTCGACTTTCGAGCCCTGCTTTTCTTGGGCCTTAGGGTATCTGGTGGCGAGGCCTTTCTCCTTTTCTTATCTTCGGTGGGCTTCGGGACCTCCTCTTCCCCGAGGGGAGGCGGCCTCATAACGACATTATCTCCAAGACCTGCATGAGAAGAAATCAAATTAAAAAGAAATATACCACGGGAAAGCATCAAACACAGACAGGGGAACTTACCATGATTTTTGGCCTCCCATCGACCCTTGGCCAAATCACGCCACGAGCGCTCAACATACGAAGAGGTTGAAACCAGTTGTCGAACCTAACCTGCATGGTCCAGGACTGCACCAGGAAGCCAAAGAAAAGCTGCACCATAAAGAAGAATATAGATGAGAAGAGGTAAACAAAGCATAACAAGTAATCTAACGGTATTGGTGAAGTTCTACTTATGCTTCATGTTCCATTCTTCGAGGAATGGCATCTTCTCGGCAGGGATTAAATCGAAGGTCCTGACCTGGACAAACCAGCACATCCATCCTCGGTCCTTTTCCTCATCTATGCTCGAGAATAGCACCTTCATGGCCCGGTGCTGAAACCTTATCAGCCCGCCCCGATAAAGGCATGGGCTGTACATCCTAATGAGATGATCAAGGGTGAAAGACATCCCCTCGATCTTGCTCGAGAATAATCTGAGCAAAATGACAATACGCCAAAAAGAGGGGTAGATCTGGCCTAGGGTTACCCGTATTGGCGGCAGAAGTCGATTATGACGGGATCGACGGAACCTGGTGTGAAAGGGTAAGTATACACCCTTAAGAACCCTTTCACATGAGTGGTGATGTCCTCTTCGGGGGTAGGAATCACCACCTCTTTATTCTCCCACTGGCAGTCCTTTTTCACCTGCTCGAGATCGCCTTCGGATATCGAACAGATGTATCTAGACATTGGCTCGCATCGGCGAGGAACCAAAGAGGGTTTTTCGACTTTAATGTCGGAAGTAAGTTCACATGGCCCGGGGATGCACTCTTCGATACGTGGCTCCACCGGTATTTTGCCACCGGCCGACCACGATGAGGAGGCCTTTTCTTCTTGAGGAACGATTTTTGATGTTTTCGCCATTGCTATATGAGGTTTAAGGAAGGAAAAGGCAGAATTTGCGTTTTAATAAGAGATTGGCAAACGGAAACCGATAAAGTTGATGGACCTGAAGAGAAATAGAAGAGCTTTTAAAGATTAGAAGTTTGAAAGTAAAGTTTGAAAAGATTATGAAGGTGGCCTATTTATAATAGTCACTTTGACGGTTTGAAAACACTAGTGGCCGACCATCAACTGGTGTTAATTAATGACCTTGGGAACTGTGCAGACGCGACGCTTCAATCGCTTCTGTCGCTTACATCACGATGTTGATGTCATAATTGATCGAGGTACTAAATCAAAGGCTCAGTTTGTTTCTTCTCGTTACACTCCAAGAAACGAGGGGACTATCTATATACGGTCAAAATCGGGCCTACCTAATTTTGCTGTTTGATCGAGACAAGGGAGTTGCATCGGAGGTAGCCTCGTATTTGCAAACATGAATTCTTTCTTCTTTTCACCCTCAACCCAAAATTATGTTATGTGTCTGAGTAACAACACAAGTCTTAGAGTTTATCAGAAACAAAAAAAGGTAGAGAACAAAGAAGAATCGAGAAGGACAAGCAAAAAAGTAGGACTCTGTTTGTGATACATATCTAATGTATGCCCTTTTATCTACATTCAATGGAGAATTTGGTCTGGCAGGTCTTCTATGCAATTTCTACTTCTGGTAGCAAAACTATGTACAGGAGTACTCTTGAACATGTAGGTAAGAAGTTAACTTTCATTTCAAAGCATCTAATCGTATCTGATGAGATCAAGTTGCACGTTTTTTGTTCTATTACTATGAAGGATTGTAACTTTTCCCTACTTTCATTATGTTTGGTTGAGACAGACTACCTTCGGAAAAGAAGGAGTCGTATGGTTTTGCTTGTGAGTTCTATATAGCCTTCCTTTATTCTAGACAAAAAGTGACATATCAAAATACTTGATGTCAGGAATCTCAATGACGTCTTAAAAACAAAACAAAGTGATTGCTCGGCCTTGGAAGATCATCACTGTTTGGGAGGACATTATCTGTTATTACATTCACTCTTCAACCAAAGATAGTTGCTCAGGAGTTTCAATATCTTCTGTGGAATTTCATAGCTAATAATTTACTTGCTGAAAATGATTTCTATGTTGTCATTTTCTCTATCTTTTCATCATTCTTTTTATCTTGAGAACCTTATAGTTATTTAAGAGTATGAATATGTTGTTCCCAAATCTTGTATGCTGGTGGAGGAAGATATAGGATAAGTGTACTTTTAAATAGGGAAGTGGGAGCTTTATTCATAAATTTGTGATTAAAATTTGATCGCCAAGCAAAAACCTTTATGGTAACCTTTTGTATCAATGAGATTATTGTTTCTGTTTATTTCCATATTGTGCTATTTATTTTCTTTTAATGCATCTTTTAAGATCTCTCTGTATTATTTTGATTGTTGGAAAAAAATTGTTGAGCATTTGAAAATATTGTTTTGTTATTTGGTCTTTATGTGTATGAAATATATATTTTGGTTTAGTTTGTCATCTTTCAAGGAATTGAAAGTACGACATATATATTTTTTTTTTGGTTCAAAGAAAATACAGTATATCAAATGGTTGATAACCATCTCTAATAGTTTTATCAGAGTATATTTTCTCACTTTTAATATATGTTGCTAATTAATACTCCTATTTTATATGAAAAGTTTATATTGTTGTAGTTTTAATACTTTAATCTTCATAACTCCCAAATACTGGAGTTTTTGTTGTTTAATCAGTTTAGGAATATAAAGCTAGAGGGTTGAGATGGTCTGGTATTGCTAAGAGGAACAAAACAACTGGGAGAGTTTGGTAGGATGGCCAAAATATTTTTTTTCCTTTGAGAATTTTCTTTGTTTTAAATTAATATTGTAGATGTTATCATTGTTAACGTGAAATTAGTTATATGTTGTGTGGAGCGTTAGAGCTAATTAATCAAAAAAAGTATTTATATTTATGATTTAATCTATCATAGAAATTAATTTGTGTATGCATACATGAAATTTGTTCTTCTACCTTTACCAATTTACTAAAAAGATCAATAAAGTATCTTATAAATAAAATTTTAACGATCGCGCGAAGCGCGGACAATATCACTAGTTGTTAAATAGTTAATAGCCTCACATGACTAATCATACTTGTGCGAATCACAAAGTAAAATTTCTCAATCTTACTGTCGAACTTCCCAGTTTTCCAATAAGAAATAAGTTTGCATTGCGAGTTGAATACAATTTCTTTTTGTGGGTATAAAGAACCTGTATTGAGTTGCACAGAACATAAATTTGAAAAGCACAATAATATAAAGCAACTTTTCAGTATGGAAAGTAATAAACTCCCTGTCATTAATGGTTCTACGAAGGAGCATTTTCACAGGGAATTCGGTCACTCTTAGGAAGATGCTTAAAGCTGTACCATTTCCTTATACAAGGCATTTTTTTTTTTCCACATACGTTATGAAGGATAAGTTCAACTAGCCATTCAAATTGTGACCTCTTAGTCACTAGACTGCGTTTCAGGACTTAATTTAATAAACAATAATATTAACCTTCTACAACAGAAGCAAATCCATAATCTCAATCATATGTTGCAGATTTGTCACGACCTAAATTCCATCAAGTCGTGATGACACCTAACCAACCCCCTAGGTAAGCCAAACAACAGTTACACAATTATAATGAAGATCATAAGTAATCAATAAATGAAATAGTTGAATTTTCATACAATATCCCAAGAGTTGGTAGTACAAGTCATGAGCCACTAAGACTTAGATTTACAAAGCTGGTACGAAAGTAAATACAACATCTATTTGGAATATACATAAACATAGTACGAATCCAAAACTATAAAGGACAAGTGGTAGCTATATCCTGAAAGCATGTATATCTTCAATGTTAGTTTCCATCATCCACAACAGCAGATCTGCACGCAAGGTGCAGAAGTATAGTATGACTATAACCGACCCCATGTACTCAAGAAGTATCATAATTAACCTCGGCATGGTAATTGTTACACCCCACACATAAAATAAAGCTTGGAAGATTTGGCTCCTAGCGCGGCCAATCAGCCAGCGACGCGTATGAGGATAGAAGGTGGCTACACGTTTCATTAAAAGTGCACTAGCTGTCCCACTAGGTGCAATGACCGGGGCGAGGCTACATTTTGCATGTGGAGCAGCGGAATTTCCTATGCTTGGTGTAGTATAAAAGGTTGTGGGCTCTTTCTCTTTCATTCTAGGAGTATCACCCACTGTAACTCACTCAAAAACGCTCTCAAAACTCCTTTTGAAGTTCCTAAGTAGACTAAACTGAATCAGAAGGCAGTTCTATTAGGATTTAGCGTGAAGAAGCTCTGGATCTTCACTATTATACCTGTTGCAGGCCGAGTTAATCACCACAAAAGCGTTAAAAAATTCAGGAAAACGTAGCCAGCTCTTCAAAACAAGGTATGTAGGGCAACTTTCTTTCTTGGCATGAACGGGTGTAAGTCTCTCCCTCTATAGGCTTTCTGCATTCTAAGACTTGGTAGTTCTGAGTCCTTCTCGATATCGTTGTTCCTATTCTTGTACATTCTTGCCAGTAGCATTTCTTTCAAGTCTAAAATGTTCCAGTGATGTCCTGAGGTTGGAAAGTGTGATTCATTCTGAGTTTAAAGTTAATATCTCTTGAAATTGATCCTGCATTGCACTCATATGTATATGTATCTATTTTACTCTACCGAACCATGCTATAGACGGCCGAGTACGACACCTATTGTGAAACCACTGATCAGTTGGGTATGAAGAGATACAATGTAAAATACTATCGAGCCCTTATGTAGTCGGGTATGACCGAGCCCTTATGTGGCCAGGTACGCTCGAGCTTTCTATGAGGCCGGGTAGGGAACGAAGTTATATAAGACGCAACCGAGCCCTTATGTAGCAGGGTACGACCGAGATCTCTCGAGGCCAAGTACAACCGAGACCTCCTGAGGCCGAGTACGATGTGATGGAAGAAATAAACTATCACGACCCGAAATCCCAACCGTCGGGCCGTGATGGCACCTAACGTTCACTTTCTAGGAAAGCCAACAGTAGGTACATATTATTTATTTGAAAATTTTAAAAACAATTAAATAAGAAATACAGACTGTAGAACTTCAAAATAGATATAAAAAATCTCAATACGCAGTCCAACCAACTCCCGAAATCTGGTATCACAAGCAAATGAACTATTAATACAAAATGCTGCAATCAAGGTTTGAAATAAAGTACAATTGTCTGAATGAAATAACAGTGCAAGAAATAAGAAGGAAACGTCGTGCAACTCTACCTCAAGTCTCAGTGATAAGCTAATCCAAGCGAGCCTCCACTAACTGTTGCTGGGACCAACACCAGAATCTGCACAAGAAGTGCAGTAAATATAAAATAAATGTACAAACTACAATTAACTGCGGCGTGCCTCAAAATAAAATGCAATAAGAGAATTACATAATTAAAGACATAAAACGGATAAAAGTGGCTATCTAACAACACAAAAAGTCATAAAGCAAGTAAAGGCACTCAATAAATAAATACACGGTCACATAAATATAATTAGCAAATGTCACGATCCAAAATCCTAACCTGTCATGATGGCGCCTATCGTGGTACTAGGCAATCCGATATTTATGAAATAACTCCTACACTTAACAGAAAACAGATTTAAAATAGTTTAAATGATAACAACTTCTTATAAATAGGATAGAAATCCAAAATATAACACGGAAATTCCTAACATCGGGGTGTCACTGAGTACATGAGCATCTATACATCACAAGTCCGAAAAATAATGTCTATGAAAATCTGAAACCAAATACAATAAGTGGAAAGATAGGGAAGGAGAAACAAGGTATGCAAAACGCCGGCAGCTTCCTCAAAATCTCCAGAAGATCAACTGTGCGCGGAAAATCAACACCCACTTTGTCCGAAAATACCTGGATCTGCACACGAAGTACATAGTGTAGTATGAGTACAACCAACTCAGCAAGTAACAATACTAAATTAAGAATTGAAGGTAGTGACGAGCTTTACAGTTATAATTCAATTACAGTGATTTTTAACGTGGAAGGTAGGCATGCTTTCAAGTTCGACAACTAAGGCCAAAATAGTAATTTCATGTCAAGTTCAACTGAAACACAGTGCAATATCTTTCAGAAATTATCAAGACAGTGATACATGGCAGCCAAGTACAACAAATATGAAATCAAATGCTTCCTGTCAGGGCCACAGTCACTCAACCCTCCCATTCACTCAGCACTCAACACTCGACACTCGCACTCAATAGGTACCTGTGCTCACTGGGGGTGTGTGCAGACTTCGGAGGAGCTGCTTCAGCCCAAGCGCTATAATCCGCACAGAAAACTCACGTGTTGCACGAACAACTCACGTGCTATAATATAATATCTGGATCCGCACGGACAACTCACGTGCTATAGTATAATATCTGGATCCGCACGGACAACTCACCTACTGCACGAAACACTCACGTGCTATAGTATAATACCTCATAATCAGGCCCTCGGCCTCACTAAGTCATCAACCTCTCCAGTCTCTCGGGCTCTCGAAAATCATAATAAGCAGCCCAGACAACAATGAAATGATGCATCAAAAATGAATAATAGAGACTGAGATGTAATATACAAATAAATTGTGACTAAGTACAAACAACAATTTAGCAGATAATTCAACATGTATACGACCATCTGTAGGTCCCTACAATGACAACACGTAGTCTAAACATGATTTGTGGTTCAATTTCTCTAATACATGGAGAATGTACGGATAACAACAGATTATACAACTACACGGTTCTACGAAATTTGACCAAGTCACAATTCCTACGGTGCACGCCCACACGCCTGTCACCTAGCATGTGCGTCACCTCAAAACCAAACACATGACACATAATATGGGGTTTTGTACCCTCAGAACCAAATTTAGAACTGTTACTTACCTCAATCCGAGTAAATCTCTACTCCAATACACCCTTGCCTCGCGAAACATCCTCCAAATGCCTCGAATCTAACCATAAACAATGCGATACAATCAACACGGGCTAAAGGAATCAATTTCACTAGAAAATATGAAGTTATTAATCTAAATCCGAAATCGGCTCAAAGCTGGCCCCCGGGCACACATCTCAAAATCCGACACTAAATCATCCCCCAAATCCCCAAATCAAACTCTCCAAATCCCTAGCCT